GTACCTGGTGGCCCATAAAGCAACACACCCTGAAAGAATTCGGGGTTAATTTTGTGTATATTGTACAAATAACCAAAAAAAAGGCACTGCTTAAAAAATAATAGTAGTAGCAAAGTGATCATTTCTTGCAGATAAAGTACCTTAGGTTGCGCTATTCCCAAGCTCTCAAACAGTTCAGGATGCTTGATTGGAAGCTCGATAACCTGAAAATAGTTTAATAAACAAGTCATTTAGCCTTAAATAAACTAGAGCCTCAGTGCAAAGTTTTTAACATTATCCATATACACACATATAATCAAAGTTTCTTCAATTTAACTAACCTCCTTTATCTCTTTAATTTGCTGATCAAGACCTCCAATCATATCATAGGTAGAATCTGGAACCTTCTCGACCTTCATAAGATTAACCAATGGATCAACTTTGCTGGGCAGAATCAAATGAAGTGTATAGCTATCGTTGCGAAGAGCAACTCTAGTTGAAGGCGTAATCTTGGTAACATCAATACTCTTGTCAATGTCGACAACATATTTTCCTTCTGGATGAACCTGAAAGCACATGAAATTTTTAGGCTGAAGCTAATAATGGCCCCATAAAGCTTTATATAGTCTGCAACACCAAATGTTTTAGGAAGAGGTACAACATGCATAAAACAATAGATAAGAGATTCTGCCAAACGTCAAATATCCTACTTTCCCACTTATACGGTATGCTAGTGTAGGATGAGATTTAAGAGCCAGCCTTGGACAACTAGCTATAGCTATCCCAGGTAAAGATGAAGTCATCAGACTGAAAAGTTATGGCCACAATTTGAACAAAATCAAATCCAAAAATTTCTGGACAGATTAAAATTTTATATAGAAGGGTTAAATTGATACAAAAAAAATTATCCATGCTGTAATTCAATTTTGATGAACCTCACTCACATGTTTCCTAAAGAGAGAGAGTTTTTTCTGCACTTACATTTGAAATCCCTTGCGGCAAGGTCTCAAAATTCTGCTGTGTCTAACAAAAGCAAAAAATAGATCCTAGAATTTTTACACATACCTTAACTAAAACTTTTGATTTTCCCATAACTTTCACTACTTCGCCAACATATGATCCAGGCTCTTGAAGAAGTTGCAACTCCTCCCTCAACATTCTCACTGCAGTTATTTTCACAAGTACAATGAATTAGCACGCGGAACATAAGAAAAATGCTTTCTTAAAAAATTCATTTCATTGAATGAAAAAAGAAATAGATACTAAAATTTTGCATCAGAAACAATGTACGCAACAAATCATGTCATGATCATATATGCTAAACCATGGAAAGGCAGGCTAACCCCGCCTTATTGGTCACAACACAGCAGACATATATACTTCAATAATTTGAAAAATGGGAGGTCTTAGTAGGGAAAATTTACGTTAGTGGGAGGGAACACTTACAACAGAACTCACAAAAGAAAATTATGAAGTAAAGGGTTTAAATCAAACTATTAATTATTAAAGATGGTAACAATCGCCATTAATCCTTCCAGTTTTTGTCTCATGTAATTCGGCAATATATGCTAACAATCAGCAACATCATATATCATATAGAAAAGGATAATGTTGTTAATGGTATCGATTAGCTATAACCTAGACTTTCCAGGATCTTCAGGTCATGACTTCTGCAACTTGCGCATAATTAAACTAGAAAACTGTAAGCAACTCAAGTTTATTAGCTGGATAGGACCTTACCACGAATGTAGACCACTAAACGCATGGCATAATATGGAAAAATGATATTCCAGCAGCTAGCAATCTTGAATTTGACACATGCACGAGATTATCAATTAACTTCATCAGCCAGGATCACATCATGAGTTAACGTTTCCACAACGCACAAATTCCTAAGCACAAATACTGTCCTTGAAAAATAGAAAATGACAAAGTACGAACTTTATGCAGTTTGAAAATTTTCTTCTACAAGAAAAAAATATCAGAACACCAATTCTAAAGTTAAAAGAAATTAATTGCTTAAAGTGGACTGGTTCAAGATTACAGAAACACAGGCTAGATCTCCGAACTCCAAGCCCAATTGAATCCTTGATCACTGCACTTCAGCTTGGCACCTACTTTAATATTAAATAGCTTGACTCTCCGAACCCATATTTTGAACTTTCAGAAACTTCAATACGTTAAAAAAATGAGGAATTGATAGTTTGTAACAAAAATTAGAGTTCAGGTTCATTTTAAATTTTATCCCAGAAAAACATTTACATCCTATCATCCCAAAAGTACAACTACTATATACTCCTCTCTGTCAGTCTCAACTAATGCAGTAATAGATGTACATCCCACCGCCTTGTATCATAGTAGTTTTACACCATGATGTACAACTTCTTATAAATAATGATTTTTTTAGTAGGTTCAAACTCACTCTTAACCCACATAGAATGGAAAAATACAATTCCCAAATTCAAAAACGTTAGCAGCTACCCTTTAATCTCCTGTCTCACATATCATTGCTTCAATTTTATAAAATGTTGAACATTCATGGCACAGCTCTATAGCATATGACCCCCTGATTTTTTTTTACAGGCCAGCTACTTTGTATATGATCTTCTCATGATTCTCCCAAGAGACTTAAAACTTTTAATCTCTACAATTTGGGTTTTTCTGACAACTTTGACTAATTCATAGAGATGAATCATCATTATCAACATTATTGCATCCCACCTTCACAATTTAGGAACGCATTAACCACCCAATTACAACAGAGCCAAACCTCTCAGGAGAAATTATTCATAAAATGCAAGATGAAAGTAGTTCAAAAGTATTTTACGCCTTTTAAGCACGGTGGTTGTAAGGGAATGTCAGTCACAATAAGGAAACGTGATAGCTAGCCTTAGTCAGACTCTTTTTTTTTTCTATTCTAGGAGGCTATTAAAGAGCCCCTCGGCGCCATGAATATATGACTTAGATCTCCCAAGTCCAACTTGACACCAGGCCTACATTGTTATACCATCAGCCTTCTCTAGGACTTGGCACCAGCGCCCTTATCTGGATCTATAACAACTCTTTGTAGTTTACATCAGATGATTAGGTTTGAAGCAAGTAGTACATGTTAAACCAGTAATTACAAGAACTTTCTCACCCCAACAGCTTCACAGTGGTGATGGGATAAGGATGTTTGAAACTACCCAATAGCTATTAACACAAAAATCACGAACTTATCTGCATGATATTCCTTGGCCTATCGACCTAATCTAGTGGCAAACTCACACTCTGAACTTGTGTAAGAAGGATGGGAGTTGTAAAGTTGGGATATTTTGCAATTGCTCAGAAATGACACTGAGCACAAATATCTAATCATGAAACAATCATTTTTTATGGCTCTCCAGTTATAAGTTGTAATAATTGAAGCACTAAAATCATGTATCAATCTAATGTTCACAAGTCTGACATGTATACAATTACAAAGAAACCTATCTTGGGGAACTTATAATTCATGATCCAACAAAATGTAGATCACAAATGCTATTTATTTCATGTGAATTTTGAGCACTTGACATTTTCCAATATATTCAATAAATACTCGAGGCATATACACTGAGGTAAAACAAGTCGCACTCAAAAGTTGATTGCAAATACCTAACAATTACTGTCATATACAGAACAAGAAAATATATCACTACATCCAAATCAATCAAAAGATAAACCTAGGGTTTTCCCTTCCACTTCTTCCAATGAATGCACTGAGCAAACAGGGTGAAACTTAGGGTTAGAGTTTACTAAAGACTAAGTAGTACCCAAAAAGATAGTCGTACATGTAAACTCGTTCAGTAGTATGCAGTTTGTGAGCCTACTTCCTCAAAAATCTGTTAATTTCCGCACAAGTTTCAATTTTTAAGGCAATAAACTTAAATTTTATTCAACCAAACACTGATTTCCCGAAAATCATCAACAAATCACTTTCGCTTTTAGTTCCAGAATTAGGATCGCGGTTAGGGTTCAGGTCATCCATAACAATTGCCAAGTCTAGGGTTTCAAATACTGGCTTCTTTCAACGAGGACACTTAGGGCTATGGTCAGATTTAGGGTTAGGGTTTTGTAACTGACCTTTGGAGTTGAGATCGTTGCGCTGCGCCTCGAGGCGATTGAGATTGTGAGACTTCTGGCGGAGCTGGAGCTGGAGATCGTGGATGTGCTGCGTGTAGTACTGCCTCAGCCCTTCTCCTCCGCCGCCTCGGGCTTTCACCTGCGGTGACCACATCTCGCCGCCGTCCGCCGCCGGCTGGTTCTTCTCGATCACCGGCCGCTGAGGGTGTGGGTCGTTTGTTGAGGGTGTGGATCGTTTTGTGCTTTGCTTGCTGAGGAGGACAAAGGAAGATCCCTAATTTTGAGTAGCCTGCTTTCTATCTGTTTTTATAATTGAAATTATTATTTCTGTAACATTATAATTGAAAATTATTAAAAGGGGTAAATTTAACAATGGTTTTCTTCTGTAGTATTTTAATATCTATCCCTCAGAACTTCATATTTTGATACTAGTCCTTCAAACTGCCATGTGGTTAGGTTGAGAGTATATAAATGAAGGTGAATAATTCATTAAGCCATTTTTCATCATTTCTAAATTGATTGCCCTCTTCGCTCCCGCCACCAATATTTACACACGATCGCCATTGGGAACGAAGTCTTCGAATCTAACTATCCTTCAGTTCTTCCTGCCTTACAAAATCTCCAAAATATCCTTGTTGTTGCTTCCCTTCTGTTAAAAATCTTCATCATTAACATGATGGCGAGGCTCAAGACATCAGGAGCTAATTGAAAAGAGGGGGGGAGGAGAACATGTTGTTCGGTGGAAGGAATTAAACAGTATGGATATTTAGTAATTTATCATCCATGGTTAAGGTCAATCCAACTATAGCTTAAAGTTTCAAATAGAAACCCTAACAAAGGGACCAATATCAACGCGGTAATGCTATTTGAGGGACTAATATCAAAATATGAATATTTTAGGGACTAATATAAAATAGATCAGATGTAAGGTGCTAATATGGAAAACCCCATTTAACAAAGGGTGAATTTCACACAACACCTTGAAACTTTGGGCTGCTTTCACGGAACCCCACCCCAACTTTGTTTTGCCAAATAAATCCTCCAAAGTTTTCCTAACGATAGTTATTTTTGCTTGAGGATAGGTCAAGATTGGAGCCCCAAATCCTTTTTTATTTCTTCTATTTTAAATTTTATTTCTTTATTAATCAATCTTCCTTATAATGCTAGGAAATATAAAATTTCAGTTTAATTTTCTAAAGTGGTTTTCTCATTCAGTGGCATTTAGTGGCTAAGCCAGGAAATTTTTCTTTTGGTAAGGGGTGCCCAAAATGCAATCATCATACTATATGATGATATATGATAAATTTTCATATATATAAATATATGAAAGAACATGGAATAAAAGTTTTACAATTAATATGCTATAAGTTATCTTAGTAAAAATTATTGAAAATATGTTTTTGTTTTAAAATGACTTGGGTCTTTTTTCTACTGGCTGGTGGTTTATTTTAATTGAAATGGTTTTTTAAGGATAATAGGGCATTTCATATTTTGAAGTAACGATGTCAAGAGAGTTTTTTGAGAAAAGTTTAAAGATCAGCAAGGTTTTGTGAGATTGACCATAGTGAAGGGGGGTTTGCTCAAATTTTTAAAGTTTGATGGGGTGGTCCACCTCAAAACTTGAGGGGATTTACTCAAATTATAATAGGTTGTGGTTTGAGACACACCCCACAGTTGAGGGATTTTTTTGAAAATTAACCCAAGCTTATGTTTTAATTATCGATGGGGCATCATATGCTATGTTGCTTTTCACCTTGTAGCATATTGTATTTCGCTTTGTAAAGTATGAAAACATAGAGAGTTATGTGGGTTTAAAAGTAAATTAAGGGAGTAAAATTTTAGGCTTATAAGCAAATTCCCTACATTCAGTGGGTCTTTTTGCAAAAACCTAGGGGGACCATGGCCGCGCATGGGCCCCTTTTCTCCGCCACTGTTCTCATTCAAACCGTTCAATTGAGATAGATTTTTTTAAGTCGCTATTACACGGATTTTTCCAACTTCAACTAATCATGTCTCAAAATAACTAAACCGGATAAGGAGATTATGGTTCAAGATTGACGTATGAGAGTTGATAAATTTTGGAGAAAAGTTAGGTAGTTTAGTAGGAAAAATAAAAATTTGGGTGCGTATTGACAAAAGACGCAAAATTATGGAGGTTTTTATTAAATTTACCCTTTAACAAAACTATGATGATTTTTCAAGGTCTTTACAAATTTACAAGGGGCCTAACAGTAATTAACCCTATTATTAAACTTCTATAAATAAAGGGTGTTTTTTTATAACTGCTAGATTATGGTTTTGTAATTCTTTTCTCATTTTGTTGATCATTGTGCAAAAGGGTAAAATAGATGATTGCTTATTTAGAAATGCATCGCAAATTTTAAATTAATATGTGCAAAACATGTAAAGGTTTTTCGATACTAGTCCCTCAAATCTTCAATAATTTTATACTAAGCCCCCAAAATATGGAAATTGCATATTAGCGCCTCAATTAATGTAGAATCTTTCAAAATCATCATTTTGCTTAATCCCGTTATATTTGAGAGGACTATCCCCCAAATATAACTTAATAGGTAAAATTACCATTTTGCCCTTATGTTAAGTAAACTTAAAAGATTAGGTGCCAACAGATCTTCAGAAGTCGTAGAATTGATACATACAGATATTTATGGGCCATTCCCTACGGCATCTTGGAATGGTCAACAATATTTTATATCATTCATAGACGATTACTAACGTTATGGGTACCTATATCTCATTTATGAAAAATCTGAGTCTCTGGACATGTTCAAAGCTTTTAAAGCTGAAGTTGAGAATCAACTCAATAAAGGAATTAAAACCATTAGATATGATCATGGTGGTGAGTACTACGACAGATATGATGGTTCAGGTGAACAACGTTCAGGACCATTTGGTAGATACCTAGAGGAATGTGGTATCGTCCCACAGTACACCATGCCAGGGTCACCCAGCATGAATGGTGTAGCTGAAAGATGAAATAGGACTCTTAAAGATATGGTAAAAAGTATGATTTCACATTCTTCTTTACCAGAGTCACTTTGGGAAGAAGCATTAAAGACGGCAACTTACATTCTGAATAGAGTACCGAGTAAAGCAGTTGCTAAAACACCTTATGAGCTTTGGACTGATCGAAAGTCCAGTTTAAAGCACTTACTATAGGTGTCTAAAAAAGCCTATAGGTGTCCGCACACAGCTCGAGACAAAGAAAAAGCGATGAACACCATTATCCAAGTCGAAGGGGATTGTCCGAGTCAGAGAAGATCATCTGATGCTGACAAGCGCATGAAGCGAATCGGCAAAACGTTGATGACGTGGTGACGAACCATCAGAACGGCCAACGCCAGGTGGCCTGCATGCTCACCGGCCACCACCAAGTGGCTCGCATACTAATCAGCCACCAAAATAGCAAACCAAATGGCCCACGTGTTCACCGGTCACCTCTAAGTGGCCCGTACGCTCATCAGCCACCTCCAAGTAGCCAGCGCACTCATCAACCAGCTCCAAGTGGCCCGCGCGCTCATCATCCAACTCTGAATGGCTTGTACGCTCATCGGCTAGCTCCAAGTAGCCAACATGTTCACCGGTCACCTCTGTGACGCCCCTGGGTTCACACAAGGCTGCAGTCCGAAGTGAAACCATGCTGTGGGCTCGCACATACCAGTTATGGCTCGACAATTGTAGTAGTAGATCTATGCTCACGCTTTCCAACATATCTTTAATCACCTCATTCTGATATCGGACGAGAGAGTTAGAACCAAAATACCGAGGACGTACGAACTGGCTCGCACAGTGCCGAGCCACCAATTGAACAAAACACCATGTGTGGACTCGTACATACCATGTTTGTCTCGGCTATTAGAATTGTAGATCTCTTCTCCAGCTTTCCAACGCATCTTGAATCACCTTATTCGAGATCGGACGAGAGAGTTAGAGCTAAAATACCCGAGTACGTACGAACTGGCTCGCACAGTGCCGAGCCACCATTTGGTGGCTCGCCCACAAAGATGAATCGACTGGGTGGTAAACGGGTCGGGTCGGGTCGGGTCATAGTTAACCCGACCCGTATAAGTGTGACCCGACCCGACCCATTTAATAAATGGGTCAACATGACCCGACCCGTTTATTAAACGGGTTACCCGACCCGACCCATATAACCCAAATGACCCGTTTAAGAACTTATGGTGTTTTTTCACCTCCAAAATACAAATCGTAACATAACATCAACGCCTCTGAGTTTGGTTGTTTTGTTGAGCCCATCAGTGTTGCTATCTATTCTGTTTAGGACTAATTCCATTGATATCTGATGGCATGGCCAATATCTTACCATCTTAAATATATATCATGAATATAATAAAATGTTATGATTTAAAATCGATCATGCATGTAAGAAAAATTGATAAACACATAAACTTAACCACACAATAGTTGACAGGAAAAGGATGAAAAAGCAACGCTTTGTACACTTAATCGTTTTTCAACACAAAAAAATGCTTCATCATTTACATTATGTATCACCAGCACGCATATACACTTAATCGTTTTTCAACACAAAAAAATGCTTCATCATTTACATTATGTATCACCAGCACGCATATGTAAACTTAACCAATGCTCTTCTCCCTACTAAAATGCAATTTCCTCCACAGCCTTCAATTTGGCACACCATACAAGAACCCATCACAATATTCACTATAATTCAAAACTCTCTACAAGCTAAAAAAGAAAGAACACAGACTATATGATGAATCTAAACTTTTCTCATTATTGCAGAGAAACCTTGTTTCATAAAGGAGCTGCACAAGTAGTTCTAACTGATTACACCGGCTCTTCCCCGCGACTGATTACACCGGCTACAATGAACGACCCTCCTCGCTCTTCCCTGCGACATCTGCAGGGATGTAATACATCAAAATGAAGCAGACAAAGAAAATAAATGCATTACTATTACAAATCAAGTGTTAGTTTATCTGCAATTTTTTTGAGCTGACATGCAAATTGGATGAAACAAGTGCTGTACTTTTCTTCATACACAATAAAAATCCAATTACTATTCCTAAGTAGCTATTTCTTAACCAAAACTGAAAATATTTTCATTTCGATCCTAACATTTGCTGCAGCAGCTCTATTTAACTCTTATGTACATGATATACATAAACTAGTGTTCGCTAAAAGAGCATATTACTCAAACCAATCAAAATTTAGACAAAAATTAACTTTTTGAAAAAGAATAGACAACAACATGATAGATTAAGAATACATTGTTTTTCTACCTCCATCTCTTCAAACTTCAGACTCCCCTCTCCCTCTTGAAAACAGAGACTAGAGAGCTATCTTTGAATTGATTCAACAATGGAAGATTCCCAATCATCCTTTACCCTCCAAAGGAAACACTCATCATTACCCTTCCAAACTAAACAAAATCTTCATCATTGCTAGACTACATTATTAGAATGGTCTACTGCCCTGGAGTTTATAAAATATCGAAAATGAATCCCATTAGAACCATCCTCACAGAAATGAGGGAGGTTTACACTATGAATAGAACAGTCAAAACATCCTTCTAATCCAATGAAAGTATGGTGCCCTTTCTTCAGACAAATTCCCCAACACTGTACATATGAATATATAAATGCGAACATAATCGAACAACAATATTGTTCAGAAACCAAAGGTTCATTTTGACCCGAGGATCCGAGCTAAGAAAAAGAGAAGACAAAAGCTGCTAATTTTCTTAACCGTTTCATTCTTTAAGTATCTTTTCATGTCAGAGACTTCTATTCAGAATGAATTCAAACATTATACACCATAATAAGATAACTTCACATTCTCACCGTTTTGGTATATCTTCAGGTATCTGGTTCCCTGGCTGTGAGAAGAAATGTTTGGCATTTTGAGCTACCTCTGCTTCAAGTATTGCTTCCAGCACGATATCCGATCCTTTAGGTTTACCTGAGCATTACATCAAAATCCAAGATTGCTTTAAGATGAGCATATACAAGTAGTAAAAGTAGGGAGTGAAATAGAAAACAATAAATATATAAGACTAATATTAATTTCTGACACTTTTCTAGGACACTCTGTCGATGTCGTTATTTATGATTATTAAATACTTACGTCATACTAATTGTGTATTATTAACTATTAAGATATATATTTATCATCCATATATGTTAAGACCAAATTAATAGAAACAAATTGAAACAGAGATTCACACATAGCAAAGTAAATATGCTTCAGTATAATAGAGGAGATAGATTTGGTTGTTATATAGAAAGATGTATTTAGACCAATTCCCTGATCGATCGGACGTAGGTAAACATAATATCAAGTTTTGAAATATCAGCAAATACCAATAAATCAGCTGTACTTATCAGGAAATTAAGCACGTTGAACAGAACTGCCCAAAATAATTGATACTGTCACTATTAGCTAAAAAGGACTAACAAATATTGCATTGGCTAATAACACCTAACATGAGTACGATTACATTTTACCATAGTTAATTTTATAATATCATATTAGGAAAACTGAAAAGAAATCAATCACAAGAAAACTTAAAATTAAACAAACTTATTTCATATGCTGATACTTCAACGCAAAAGTGATGAAATTGTCAAACTACTGCCACCAATACCAATAAGTGAGATTTTTAAAGGAGGGTTGATACGAAAAACTCCCTTCTCCATTGGCAAGTTTAGCAGTAGCAGCACAACAGGCTCATTTGATGCAGGACCAACTGATTGATGAACATCTACAAATCTCTTAAGAAATGTGGTAGGCTTAGATACTGACTGGAAGAAATATATTACTCTGGAATCTAATAAGTGAAATTAGAAACTGACGGAAGTCTGAAATAATAGTATATTAATAGGAAAATAAACTATTCCACAAATGTTCTTCTCAAGGGTAAGAACTTTCTTCTTAGGCTCTTCTTAGAACAATATCAGTGTTCGACTTGGAAAAGACTAGCTTAGATGCGATCATGGGGTGTTTCAAGTCCTTTTTTATTGTACTGCCCCAAATGTTATTAGATTGCATGTGCCCCAAATTGATTGAAATGAAACAGCTCAAGGAGAGCCCTACTTTACTGTGATGACTAAATACAAATAAGTGAGATTTTTAAAGGAGGGTTGATACGAAAAACTCCCTTCTCCATTGGCAAGTTTAACAGTAGCAGCACAACAGGCTTATTTGATGCAGGACCAACTGATTGATGAACATCTACAAATCTCTTAAGAAATGTGGTAGGCTTAGATCAAAGTTACTGATAGATTTGGCAATGAAAACCTTCTAAACTCGAATACATGTAACTAGAAAGTGATGATGCATCCTTTTGTAGACTACATGAGATCAAAGTTACTGATAGAACATAAATCAAAATTTCCTTCTTGGCGTACATCACACAATCTCAAGAGCTGCAGCAATGAAAACCTTATAAACTCGAATACACGTAACTAGTCCTTATGTAGACTACATGAGATCAAAGTTACTGATAGAACATAACTCAAAATTTTCTTCTTGGCGTACATCACACAATCTCAAGAGAGGTTTTTTTAGGCTGTTCTAAAACAATAATGTCATACTATCATTAAGAAAGAGAGGTAAAAAAAATTTTAAAACAACAATATTCCATTGCTAACCTAGCAAGGGAATTCGAGCACTAATTACCATTATTATTTATGCTAATATTAAATGGGATAAGATAGAACAAGCCCACTGAGTAGAGAAATCAAAGGAAAGAAGTTCGGCAAATGTAAAATGCTCATGGTATGATAATTGCTAGGGAACAGATAAGTCAGAAATCTCAATGGTTCATGCACATTCTTAAGTTAATTCCAATCTCTAGAGTGCAAGAAGCAAGTAAAAATCTCCAAAAATCAAACCATAAACCAATAGTCAAAATTGAACAAGAATGCAACAGAAGCTCTGATACTCCATGCTCTTAAACTGTTTTAGGTACATAGTTTAACCTAGAATTCCTCAAAAATCCTCAAAAATCAATAAAATTGCAACCACAAAATCAAGCTAAGATCTTAGTCTCCTAATTTTAACCTAGAATTTAGAAATCGGGGCTGAAAATTACCTATCTAGGGTTTCTAATCTGATCCTTGAGCACTTGAGAGAAAGTCGAAGGTGGCGCTTGCGCTCGAGGGGAGAGGAGATCACAGGCCCCGAGGAGAGAGGAGATCCAGGATGAAGCTCGAGATTCAGGCAAGAGGAGATCAAAGGTGGGGCTCGAGCTTGAGGAGAGAGATCGGAGATGAGCTCGAGATCGGAGATGAGCTCGGGGTAGAGATCGGAGGTGATGAGTTTTTTTCCGGAGACGAAGGGACCAAGGGCTTCTTCGTTTATGAGAGACGAAGCGGGTCGGTGTTATACAGGTTATTATATGGGTTATACGGGTTGTTAAATGGGTCAGGCGGGTCAACCTAATTTACTCATTTAATAAACGGGTCAGTTTGGGTTGACCCGTTTATGACCCGACCCATATAACTCGACCCATACCCAATATAAACGGGTCGGGTCGGGTCGGGTCGGGTCGGGTTGATGGGTCGGGTCATAAATTGCCACCCCTAATTTCAACTATGATGTAATTTGATTCTGGAGATCAAAAGACAAAAGTTGTAGGTCTCTTCGTTATCTTTCTAACGCATCTTGAATCACCTCATTCTAAGATCAGACGAGAGAGTTAGAGTTAAAATACCCAAGATAACGCGAACTGGCTCGGCCAAGGCCGAGCCACCAAGTGGTCGTTCGCGCCGGTTCGCACCCGGTTTGGTTCGGTTCATACCCGGTGTTCGGTTCGCACCCGGTTCGGTTTGTTTGAACTTGGTTCGGCAGATTTCATCCGAAAACGTGACGGTTTTCAACGGGTTTTCACGAGATTTCTTATGTTCCAGAGGTTCCCAACTACCTTGATATCATCTCTACACATGATTAGGCGGTTGTCAACTGAGGATAAGGCCAAAGCCATCGTTCTTATCAGAAAACCCCCAACCGAAGCCTATAAATACAGGCCTAGTGGCTCATTTCACAGGAGGAAATCAAGAGGGCGAGGTGCTGTCAAAATTGAGAGTGGAGCCACGAATTTCAGAGGGTTAGCAGATCTTGGCGAAGTTTCCCCATAAACAAAAAGAGAGCTCGAGAGATATGAAACCTCTTTCCCCCATATTCCTCCGGATTAAGCTTGGTCTTAAATTCCGAGAAGAGTCATAATCTAGCTTGGTCGGGATTATCACTTCAGCGAATACTTCCTTCGTGAAGTAGGAGCTTTGACTTTCAATCTATCAACCAGATCTGATCCGTGGTGGTCCACGGATATCAAAGTCCCCAACATAGGCAAAGATCTCACGCAAACAACAGGCGATAAACATCTGTTGTGTGTTGTTTGAATGAATTATAATCTTATATTTTCATTATATAAGAAGATCAACTTTTTATTTATTTGAGTTTATTATAACGGCTAAAGTTGTAATAGATTTGATGACAATAAAAATAGCAATTTTTGACCCAAACACTTACACATTTGGGGATATCCAGCTGAGGCAATGCCTTATAAGCCAAATAAAAAGAAATTGCACTCTAAAACTGTTAGCAACTACTTTATTGGGTATTCTGAACGCTCTAGGGGCTATAAGTTTTATGAGCCCACACTTAGGAATATTTTTAAGACGGGAACATCAACATTCTTTGAGGATGTTGAGTTGGAAGTTGGGGGGGGGGGGGGGAAATAAGGTTAGAAATATTGCTTTTGAGGAGGAATTGGCTTCAAGACCCAATCCATACAGTTACTTTGGACAATATTCAGGTTCCTATTCCTGTTATTGATCAAAAAGTAAATCTGGAGCCTCAAGATGATAATGTTAATCAACTCCCTGTTCCAGAAGAACAAACTCAACAACCGATGCCATTAATGAGATCCATGAGAGAAAGGAGAAATGCTATTCCGGATGATTATATTGTATTTCTCCAAGAATATGAGGAAAATAATGGAATAATGGAAGATGATCCAATCAACTTCCTTTGGGTCATGAAAAGTTCTAACTCTCAAAAGTGGATTGATGCCATGAATGAAGAGTACAAGTCTATGCAAGACAATAAGGTTTGGGAATTTGTCCCATTGCCAGAAGGTGCAAAACCAATTGGTTGTAAATGGATTTTTAAAATCAAGTGGGATGCAAATGGTAATGTGAAGAAGTATAAGGCACATGTTGTAGCTAAAGGCTTTACTCAAAAAGAAAGCATTGATTATATAGAGACTTTCTCTTCGGTTTCATCGAAAGACTCTTTTAGAACAATCATGGTACTTGTTGCTCATTTTGATATTGAGTTATATCAGATAGATGTTAAGACTGCATTTCTCAATGGAGACATTGATGAAATGATTTATATGATGCAACCAGAAAACTTTGTGTCAGGAGACCCGAATAATATAGTTTGCAAATTAAGGAAATCTATATATGGACTCAAGCAAGCTCCTCATCAATGGTATTACAAGTGTAACAAATAATTATCCCGTTCGGTTTTGAGATGAATATTATTGATGACTATGTATATCATAAGTTCAGTGGGAGTAAGTATATTTTTCTGGTTCTGTATGTCGATGACATATTACTTGTCAGTAACGATATAGGCATGTTGCACGAAACCAAGAGATTTCTATCAAAGAATTTTAAGATGAAAGATATTGGGGACACCTCTTTTATATTAGGAGTCCAGATAAGTCGAGATCGTTCTCGAGGTATACTTGGATTATCACAAAAGAGTTATATTAATAAAGTACTCAAAAGATTTGACATGCAAGATTGCAGACCAGGTGACACCCCTGTTGCTAAAGGAGACAAATTTAGTCTCAATCAGTGCCCTAAAGGTAACCTTGAAATTCAGGAAATACAG